TTTCTCCATGCAAAATTCTCACTGCAAGTCGCAATCTCACTTCTCAGTGACTTTGTGTAACATGTGCTGTGTCCCTTTCACAATGAGGGGCCCAAACTAAATTAACTGAGTGGACTGACTGCATATAATTCACAAGACAATGAAGTGAATAACTTTCTTTTTTAGAAGTGCAAAGTGACTTAGTTGTGTTCCTATTGTAGCAAGGGATAAAAATCAGTAAAGCACAATACCACAGATACTAAGACTATACTAATTCAAAACCAGGCTTTTGGTACTGCTGGTTGCACTGGTTCAAAAATATCACTGAATGTGTCGTTCCTCAATCTCTGGCACTCTTCCACAGTGTGTCTTTGACCTGTCTTCCCCCAACTGGTTGTGGCAGATGGCTTCCACTTCCTAAGCTTGGTTTGGTCAGAGGTTTTTCCTGTTAAAAGGGAGTTTTTCCTTCACTGTCACCAAGGCGCTTGCTCAAAGGGGTAAGTTGACTGTTGGGGTTTTGCCTGTTTGTATCTGGGTCTTCAGCTTGCAATATAAAGCACGTCGAGACAACTCTCGTTATGATTTGGTGATATATCAATAAAATTGAATTGAATGGAATTATGACAGTAAAACATTTCCCCGAAGAAAAAAATGGACACAACACTAATACACTGCAGCTATTAAAAATCCTAGATGTGTAACACTTAATCACCAGAAGGGAGACATATTGCTGTGGTAACATCACCGTGGAAACTCTCAGGTGCCCTGGCCTCCAAAGGCATCTGTAGCTTTGAAAAATGGAGCCTTGAAAGTATTCATTAGTCAGCCAAGCAGTGAGATTACCCTGCTAATGCCAGTGTGATTCAGAAATAAATTTAAAAAAAAGATGTGGGACAAAGAAAAAAAGTTTTCAGCTGTTCAAAAGAATTATTTCTAAAGGAAAATATGGGTATGGAAGACTTTCAGTCCCGTTCTGCAAAGGCCTCCAGCTGAGTAGCAGCTTAGTATCCATTAATGGTCTCACTGTGGAGAAAACCGGGCAATGGAAAAAAAGCAGCGGCCACTCAGCACCCACACTGTAGAAAAAAGAAACACTGATCAATAAGTGCTGCGTGCGGTTCGATAAGTGCATTGATCATCGCGCAAACAAACACATCACAACCATAGCGGGAATAATAGTGCTGGGGCAAAGTAAATTCTTTTCAGCCCGACCTAATGTGAGTGTACTTAGGCTTGTGTTCACCCGCCCTCCAAGCATCAGTCAATGAACATTTGAAGTACAGACACTGATGCTAAAATACACTGAAAAGAAACCAGTTTGACATGTGTGATGTTTCTGTTGATGCCTGCAGGTACTATTCTTTTATCTTAAACAATGTCACGATGCAGTGTTTTTTCTTTTACTGTTAGAAGTCTGCTAGCTAGAGAAACATGCACAGTGCAGTAGTCTCTATGATTATTGTCTAAATATGAATGAATACAAGGTTTATTGCCCCACCCAAATGTTTCTCTCAGACCTGAGCAACACTTTTTGCTCATTATCTTGGCTCGGCCTTCAGCTTTGGTTTTGTTCAGTCTTACTGCTCTGCAGTTTGCAGCTTTGCATTTCTAAAAACTGACTGTAGGCTGTACTGCTTATCCAACTCCAAACAGCAGAGAAGTTAACAACTAGCTTTAAAACATTGCAAAGCTTTTAGGATTTAATGCATTTTCCTGAAGAATTGGGCCAAAATCCAAAGGAAAACAGCATTTTTTTCTGGCCACATGCTACTTTATGAATGGATGTTCAAAGCTACAAGCTATGGCTTGCTGCAGCTCGGGAGGACGAGCGGGTTATCTGCTAATTTGGAGGCTGGCAGTTTGATTCTTCGTTACTCCAGTTGCATGCCAAAGGAACCCCCAAGTTGCTCCCCGATGCATCCAATGGAGGGTGAATATGTGCAAATGTTAGATAAAAAAGTGCATGGGTGAATCAGACATGTTGTATAAAGTGCATTGAGTGCTCCAGTAGTGTAGAAAAGTGCTGTATAAGAACCAGTAAATTTATAATGTTTGCTGTATTGTTTTAAAAGGAGTAGTATGGTTGTACAGGAAATACAGTTAAATGCATAATTATCTGGACAATTTTCAGAGGTTTTAAAGAAAAGACAACATAGGATTTGATTTTCAAACTGATATATATTATGATGTAATCAATGCAACGGTGTGGTGTTTACTAAAACTCTCGGATGAGTTTGAAGCTTTGTGATTTACACCTCAAGGTCAAGGTCAGAGGTCAGAAGTCAAGTTTTCTGAAAATCGTGTGAATGCAATAACTTGAGGATGAAGTCACCTAGGATTTTCAAGTTGATACCAAAATCTCAGATTAGTTTAAAAGTCTGTGACATTGACTGCAAGGCCAGAAGTCAGAGTTCAAGTTTTCTGAAAATACATTTTTTTCAGAGGATCAAAGGTACTTGGACACACTTTCTGTAATTTCAAATATATATATAAATCGTTTTTAATACATTAAAATCTTTTGTTAGTTAGCTATTGAGATGCTCGGCCTGGGCTTTACTTCTACCTTCAGGTGCTGCTTGTGTGGGGCTCTCTCTGCATTTGGTTTTACTTTACTGGGTTGAGATCAGAGACTAAGGCACTGAAGAATATCTGATTTGTTTGCCTTGAGAAACGTAAAATCTTAATTGTCTGTAGGTACATGACATCACCAAATACAGTCCATCTCAAAGAGTGATGCCGCCAGCTTCCTGATTTCTTTGAGTCTGCCTTGTTGCACCGAGACACCTTGCAAAGTCCTTGAAGTTTTGATTTGACACTCACCTTTTTATCTTCGAAAATGTGACAAAAAGGCTCGTCCCCTCTGAGCGTCGGTGGCCTGTGAGTGACACCAGTGGATGTTATATGACAGGAGAATTCTACCTAATTACAGCACTTTCAAAGACATCTATTGCCGTTGCAGCTGAAATGCCTTCGCTGAGTCACAGATTCCCCATAGATAAATTCCACGCTGTTTTTGCTACAGGGCAGAAATAAAAAAAATAACACACCCGTGGCCCCTTTAAACACGTTTTACCAGTCGTTTCCACAAAGCACGTTACAGGGGGAGATAATCCAGTGGCGGTAGATGGCTCGCTTCGAGGTATTTCGGCGATGCTTCATGGTTGGGTCAGGCAACAGCTGCTGGAGGTGAGATATCTAGGATGAAGTCCTCTCCCCAAACGACATCAACTCTATTTTAATTCTCCACGCAGCATGGTGCATTGACACCTGGGCTGAACACATGGTTAAAATTAGGGCCGCTGTAGGAGACCTTGACAAACAAGTGACTTTGACTGAATTCATCAGGGCATCCCTGGAGTCACAAAAGTGTTTTAGGAAAGTTGTATTAGTTTTAATTGTCCATATGGCCTTATTTCAGTTTTTCAGATTTCCCTAAAATGGTCTTCCTCATTGTCACATATTGTGCCATCTATAGCGTATTTTATGGTAGCGTCATTGTCTCTAATGTGTTAAACTGAGCTAGATTTGTCTGTGTCTGGAAGGAGCTCAGTGTTTTTAAAAATTCATGCTTTGGAAAAGTAAAATATCACAGCTTAAATAGTGTCTTTTTTATTATATTTTCACAAAGAAATCCCAGCACCCGAACGTAAAAGTTAAAAAAGGCATAAAAGGCTTCACTTTTTCATTTCACTAGATAAAACCACGTTTCGCAGAATAAAAGGTTGTGAATGGAATTTATTCTTGGGATTTGGATGTGAGTTGGTGGCTGTGAGCAAAATCGGAATCAATTAATCGGGCATATACGAGCCAACTTGCCAGGAAGCAAGTATCTGTTGTTTTTGTTATTGATGCATTAGCAGAACAATCAGTGGCCCTAAGTTCTTTTCCTCCCTTTGAGTTAAACTTGGAAAAGAAAAGGAAAGCAAAAAAAAAAAAAAAAGCTGGAGCAATGGCTTGAATATTTTAGGTTATGGATGAACTGTCGAGTGTCTGACAAGACCCACTATATAAACTTTGAACACAGGCTCTCCGGGACACATCGATAGTTGTAAATATTTAATTTGGTGCCTCCGACAATGCATGCCCACTGAAACAAATCTTTACCAGATTGAATTCAAGATAAATAGCACGGAAATATCGCAAAAGCTGATACACAGACTTTTATGCTATCATTTTGTCAGGTTTGCCTCTTTGGGGCTTTCGCTTCACGTATCGCATATTAATTTATTTGAAGTGTCAGCAATTTTAAGAAGTAACAGAAGCTGCGTGCCCCTTTATACTGCGTGTGCAGTTCTAATTAAGATGGGAATGCATTCATGGACATCATAAACACATATTTCTAGTGGTTAAGTTTGACTTTAAAAAAGGCAGATTAGTGCGAGACTGTGAATGCATGGATTATAAAAGCAGCCATTATAAAGTACATGAAAGCTTTAAGTGAAAGGCATGATCTATTGTCATGATATCTTTTTGGATTATAAGGCATTTGTGCATGAATAGGTTCTAATCGAACAGCTGCTTTTGTGAAAAAGCAGAACTACACAATATTACTATGTATGCTATATGTACACATCCACACAAACATGTCTCTGTGCAGATTATTATACAGTTATTCTATGCAGGCTGTGCTCTCTTGCAGTCTGGACTGAAATGACTTTACTGCATTTTATTGAAATGTTAATGTAGTCTCAGTATGATTTTTCCAGCTATAATAGAAATTGTGTTTTCTAAAGACCTTCTTTTTAATATATACAGACATCATTTATAGCGAAAAAATAAGAAAACTTGCATATTCCATTTGTCACTTTGATAAAGTCATTAAAGCTAAAATTGTTGTGTTTGTTTGCCGATATTTCTACAATGTGGTTAATTGTCATTATTTCAATTTCCAAACAGCTACTAAATTTGAATGGATGATTTCTGCAGCGATGCTCTTATGATGTGGAAAAAAACAGCGATCGCATCTTTTCTTTCTTAGCATGAACAAAAGATCAACACGGGCTTAATTTTTTAACCTTTTATTCATTTAAATTCTCAAGTGTTAAAGCAAGAACAAAACATTTATAATGTCCTTTGGTGGGATTTTATTACACTTTATTAATACTGTATATGTAAACTGATATTCTTTGATGCCAGCACGTTGCCAATACAAAGGAAAATCAACTGCACAACGAAAAGTAATAAACAGAAAAGGTGAAAAAGGAAGTGAAAATAAAAGAGAAAGAGAGAGAAAAAACAACCCAACTGCTTCTGCATTTGAATGACTTAAATAGATACAGGTTGCCTTTTTTTCAATCACAGTTCGGCAAAGATACAAAAGGACTACATGACTCTCTTTTTTTTGTTGTTTTTTTGTTGTTTTGTTTGATCTGTCGAGAAAAGAACTTGCAAATACACTGATGGTTTTCTATGCACTTCTCGTCTGCTCAGGTGAATACTATCCCCTGACCATGACAGTAGGGAGAGTGGTGGCTCTAAGATAAAAAAAGAATCAGACAGCTTCACTGGAGTATCTTTTCGGAAGAGAGGAAAGGGGGACGAGGGATGGGACGGGGGATTCTTACATGTGCATCACTAACATTGGACAAAAGAATCTTTCAACCAACAAGGGTTTTACAGAGTAACGTTCACGAAAGCACAGGTCAGTGGCGGCGTCTGGGGGTGGAACTAGGATCGGAGGGAAGGGAGGGGGATGAACGAGAGGATGAGGCCGAGCTCGAAGGAGAGACAGAAAGATAGAGACAGAGAGGGATCAACGTGGGCAAGGTTTTGTGTCACAATGTGGCAGTCCGGACAGATTTCCTTCTATCCACAATGCACTGACAGCAAAGAATGCGTCCTGGGGTTTTTCACCTCTTTCTGTTTGTTATCACGCTGAAGTGTAACGGGTTTGTTTCTGAGGCCAGTCTTTGCCATTCAGCGGGGACAAGTTTGCTTTTTTTTGTTGTTGTTGTTGTTTTTTTTTTCTTCGGCATCAGTCCAGCCAACATTAACAACGCACAGAAGCATCCCAAAGGGGTCGGCGGCCACCGTCGGCTTGTGCGAGAGCTGATTGGTCGCAGCTGTTGTTGCCGTGGCAATATGAGAAGAAGTGAACGAGTCTGTCATCTTTAGTTATCTCCTCTCAAAATCGAAGGGGGCTCGTGTACTGTACCTGGTATGGCTTTTGGGGGGAGGGAGAGAGGTAGGGTAGGGGTCGGGGTGGGACTCACCATTCTCTGCTCATTTTACTTTTGTTAGGCAAACCCTCAGTTACTCATATTTCTAATAATATCTGTATTTTTTTTTAGAAGTATAGTTTTTCTTTTTAATTATTTCTATATATTCTTTGAAATTAAATGAAAAGCTTCTGCACTCATTTGACTGGCACATTCCCTTTATTGTCAGTGCGAGTGTCCATTGAGTCTGGAGGCGGAGAAGCTCAGAACATTACAGTCCAGAAAGCTCATGGTTGTTCTTTTTTAAATGGTTGTTGATTATCTGAAAGGGGAGGGGGATGAGCTTGGGTTAAGGTGGAGAAGGTGGGAAGTGTGCGACTCCCACCAGGTAATGGGTCACTTTAGAGCACAGCGGGCCGGCAGGAGACCCCTCTCAGCAGAACCGAGCCTAGCAGCAGGAGCAGCAGCAGCCTGGAGGTGGATGGAGGTGTCAGGTGAGCCTGGCCTGAATCTGGGCCCCCTACAGCCTCCCAGCTCTGACTCGCAGCGGCGCTTCTCACACAGCAAACCCGTATAGCCCGTTGGACAGCTGCAGCGGACGTTGCTGACACACGTCCCACCATTTTGGCAGCGCAGGAGTTCGTTGTCACACACCCGGGCTGCGGTGGAAGCAATGTAAAGACAGGAAAGACGTGTGAGAATTTAACACACAAACACGTGTTTGGGTGACACTTTACTTGAAGTGTGTTCTGGTGCATGAAGGAGATTCTCTTCTCATTAGCTCCCATTATCAAACATCACAGCAGAAGCTTTAAAGATGGCCAATTATGGAATCAAAGACTGACAAAAAGTGTTCTTCAAGTAAAGCGTTGCCACATTTTATTCCATTTTTGATGTCTATGAAATCTTAAATTTGAAAATATGCTTATTTATGGTCTTGATAGTTACAGTACAGTAAATATGGAGACAAGGCTTAGCCCAAAGACTGGGAATTGGGTTATACTGTCCTAATTGTGTAGTCTATAATTTCATGGGTGGTTATTTGCCCATAATCTATACACCAACACATGCTGCCATTAAATTACAGTAAAGTAAATGTAGTTAGATTCGGTAGCCTAAAACCATTAATCTTCCATGTAGCTAGCGTGATCTACAACAGTGTACCTATATGAAACTGCATTCCTCATGAGGGGCTTGGTCTTTATAGCCTCACATATCTAACCCACATTTAAGTTCTTGTTTTATACGGGAACGCTGCCGTATTAAGCATTTTGAGAACCATGCTAGCTGCTGTGCTGGTGGCTACTGCACGGCTAAAACTCATCACTGTTCTTGACAACAAAAACAAGTCTAAAAGCAACCTAACAGAATTTACAATCAGTACACTGCTGAATTAATCACTAACTCATCAACATCCCCTCAAGTCTTTGCATAAGAGAAACTACTGACAATCTGTGCAACCAAATAGTTTTTAAGCTAACTGCGTACTAAATGAAGTAGGGCAACATAACTTCCCTTAATGAATTGTGGGTCGACTCAAGCAAAAGAGTCAGATTTCTTCCACTATGGCCACTCAGACACTAAACATCTCTCACAATGGCCTCCATCTACATTTGCATGTACCAAATCCTGACACTACATGACCCCACACTGGCAAAGCGTGTAGTTTTAGGGAAATGGCTTCTATAACAACTGAAATGCATAATAATTTTAAGTTGTAACATCACCCCTTAATAAGTAAGTTTCATGGGTGCTGGTGGGCAATGCTCTTTGTCTTTGAAACCTTTGAGCACATTCAGATTAGCTGGCACAGCCTGGTTTTGATCTATTTAATGTGCAGAGGCTTAGATCTCTTAATAAACTCAAGAAATCAAATAAGCATATTTTCCAACATGTTCAAGTATTGCTTCAACATTTGGCACATTTTGGATTGTAAAATGCATGAAATATAGATTATATGTCATATCTAATAATTAAATCTAGTAAAATTATAAAATTAAATTAAAGTATTAAATGAAATTGACTATTTTATATAGGAAAATAATTAAATGTGATGTAAAATTTGAACAAAACACGTTTGTAAGACAGCGAAAATGTTGTGTAATGTTGTTGCTTCGAGCTGTGGTAAAGATGTACTGTACACAGAGGCTGAGATTAATCTTAGGCGCTATACAAGTGCTATTAAACTCTAATGGATATATACACATGTAATTAAAAGGTGGTGAACACTGGCTTTATCTTTTAATCACCTCTTAAAGAGTATAATGCCACTCGAAATTAATTTCACAGTCTTTTTTCATCATTATTACTTAAATGACTCTGAAACATTTCATATATTCCCCATCAGTTTAACTTTACAGCCTCTAATCTTTAAATAACACCAAATTTCAGATTTCAGGACATTTTTTCAGCATCTAAAAAGACGCGTCTATTTGTTTAATACCAAAACCTTATTCAAGCCCCATCAAATCAGCTACGTTACAGCACAGAAATCCACACTTTCCTCAAAGCCTGCGAGGCTTTCCCCAAACACCACTGACTTTAGACAAACTGAACGTCAGGTGAAAATTGGTGTATATTTAGAGCTGGGACACCGAGGCCACTCTATTCCCAGCGGAGGCAAGCTGTCAAACAAGCTGGAGGCAAACAAAGCTGCGCTGCACAAACTAATAAACCAACAGAGACAAATAAACACTGATAAACACAGGGGCCACTTCTGCCCATTTCAGTCCTTTATAGGAGTGGAAAACAATGCGGTGAGCAATCTATGAACTCTATGGGACATAAATATCACAAACAAATATAAGACCTCTCTCCTAATAATCAGGATTGGATGCATGCTGTCTCACAGGAATAGCCAAATAGAGCTTTGATGGGAGCCTTGTTAAGAAACATTGACTGTGCGAATCCTATTTGTGTTTCGTGGGAGAAAAGAGAGCTGCTGTTTGGCTCAGTAAGTTTCGCTCCAGGCCACAGCTCACCAATTACCATGCACAACTACATCCAAATAAGACATCTGAACTCTATCTTTGTTCCCCCTGTTTTGTTTTTTTCATCTGACATATCAATTGCATGACCACCTCAACCACTCAGGAGAAACTACAGTAATGAGTCAATATGAGACTGCAAAACAGACTCTATGGAAAGCCTTTGTTCACTTTGATTGCTCTCTGTGATGAGGCAGCGGCTAAACTTGGTAATTAGATTGTCTCCTCGAGATGACAAGGAAGAGCGATCAAATGTATTAATTAAAGAATCATGAGGCCTTGATATGATCAGTACACAGGAGAGACTCCTTTAATTAGACAATAACCTTTCGTCTCGTCTATCTTATCCTTCCTTGCTGTCACAATAGAATGATAACGTGAATTTCTAAGAATATTCAGACTGGCTTTTATTCAGAATTAGAAAAATAATTGGAAAAAAGACGTCGGACACGGTTGTGAATGCCCACTTTTTTGGACTAAAAATCTCAAACTATCCTAGTCTGATAAGATATGATCACGTCTTTAAAAAGGCACATCTTTAAGGCCAAATCAGACTTGCTATTTGATATAAGCAACGTCGGATTTAGTCTATGTTCAGGAAAGTAATCCATACTTACAGACAACCACTTCCTAACTTGTTGATTAAAGCTTGGAACATTTTGAAGGTGAGATTCGATTAATTTGTCTAAATTTGAGGTAAAAACTACATTTTCAGCAATTTGATTGGTTGTTGATAGGTTAGGCTTCAGTCACACTGGACTTTGGACTAGTCAGTGACCCCCATTGGAAAAATGTGTATCCCTGCTCCAATCAACATGTTTGAAAACATACAGCGTTTACTTACTAAGACAAATAGTCTCTGATTTCACTGTTTCAATTCAGTGTAATTCAGTTGTATTTTTATAGCTTCAAATCACAACAGCAGTTACCTCAAGGTGCTTTATATTGTAAGGAAAAGACCCTATCACCATATAGAGAAAGCCCCCCAAATCAGATGATCGCCCATGAGCAAGGTGACAGTGGGAAGGAAACATTCCCAGGCTCAAGGATGGGAAGTCATCTGCAGCTGCCAGCTGGGGGTGAATGGAAAGGAGGACAGCAGAAAGACTGCTTAGCAAGAAGCTGGCAAGTGTTTGCAGACACCTTTCTCACTCATGTGTTAATAGACCTCTCTGCATTGAATTGTACTTGTTATTAATCTCTGGCTCTCTTCCACAGCTTGTCTTTATCCTGTCTCATGTCTTCCTTCTCTCACCCCAACCGGTTGCGGCAGATGGCCCCACCCCTTCCTGAGCCTGGTTCTTCTGGAGGTTTCTTCCTGTTAAAAGGGAGTTTTTCCTTCCCACTGTCGCCAAAGTGCTTGCTCATAGGGGGTCATGTGATTGGATTGTTGTTTTTTTCTCTGGATGCATTATTGTAGATTCTACCTTACAATATAAAGCGCTTTGAGGCGACTGTTGTTGTGATTGAAAAATTGAATCCAAAACTGAAAATATCATATAGAAGTGCAGCACTGTATACCTCTTTGTGACTGATTTGCGACAGCCAGCAACCTCCCTCACCAACAGGCTGACAAATACATATTGTTGCCTAGCAACCAGCTGGGTACAGAGGGGGAGGCCTGCCTGAATGGGGTTTTTTACAGCAACTACCACCAACCTCCAGCAACCACAAATTTCTCCATAGTGACTGGTGGTTGCTAAGTGTTTTTTTTTCTTATTTTCAGAATAATCCCATTAAAATAATTTTAAGAATCTTTCTGTTCAAAGGAAATTTTAGTTCATTCTAAAGGAAATTTTAGGTCATGGCTATTCCCTGGAAGCAGAGTGATTCATCAGCTGAAGGGACTATAAAGACAAATAGATAGTGATGACTTAAAAAAAAAACAAAAAAAGGAAAAAAGATCAATAAAATCATCAAGATATAAAAAAAAATAATGACAAACAAGAACGATCACGTTCAGTGTTGTAAGATTGAAAACACAGCAGAAGTAGGAACTTCTTGTCCCGCACCTTTATCTGATTTCATTTTCTCACATTAACCATTTTGCATTACTGCACATAAACAGAGCCGGCACAGGCAGTAAAAGACAAGATTTGTTGTGTTTGCTTTTGATATGAGTGATAATATTTAGAGAAGGGGCCGCTGAACTAGGTGCGCCTGTCTGGGAAAGTGATGTGTTTGACGAGAGATTTAAGTTTTAATTGCATTTTTTCCCCCGCTCTGCATGCAGACAGCGTCTCGTCAACGCACAGAACTCCTGCAGCAGCAGCGGGGATGCAGAAGAAGGTCGAGTTTTCCCATTTCAGCCATAGAATCACTCAGTGGTTTTGGACTGACATTATTCTGGGGGTTTCTCGTTCTCTTTCCTACTTTAGAGGACATTTTGTGAAGTGAAAGCACTGCTATGGGTGCTTTTGTGGCTCATTTGTTGTTGGGGCGATGAATCAAACTCCAGTGAAAAACTTCACATTTGTGTTACTGCCAGAGCAGAAGAGCCTGGAATTTTTTTCAGTGACCAAACAAACAAACAAACAAACAAACAAACAAACAAACAAACAAACAAACAAACAAACAAACAAACAAACAAACAAGCAAAACAAACAAACAAACAAACAAACAAACAAACAAACAAACAACCCAAAGAAGAAGAAGAAGAAAAATCAATCTCTAGGGGAAAAAATCTGTAGTCAGGAATATAGCAATACTATGCTATTCTTTTTCTCGATATGAGCATACTAATACAGCCTCTATGACATTTACAGCTAAAAGATCCCCCTTCTTTGGATGTTGCATTCTTTGAAATGCCACCAATACTTTGATCAATGTAGAAAAGTCAGTGCACAAGCAGTAAATTACAACCTCAATACAAAGGAACCTCTTTGCCTTTTATTTGTAGGCAAAAGATATTAAAGCAATCAAAGTATGTTTGTGCTGAAAACATTGAGATATTTTGACCTTTTCGGAGACTGTCTTCAAATTCATGTGATGAGAATGTCTCTGAGCTGTTGTTTGAGTGATGTAGGAGAAATTTTATACCAAGTAGTTAAATCTTAAAGACCAAAAAATATTTACATGTTAAGACATTCTGGATTTTTTTGTGTTACTATTTTAATCAGGGAGAAGGTGTAGATGTAATTGAACTTCTTTTCAGACCCACATTACTATGCAAATCCCAGTATTATACCTTTCATCGTGTCTGGAGCGGATCTTTAACTTTAGCAGCTTTTTAAGTGAAGTATTACTCAGACCTCTTGGATATAGAGTTTGAAGTTTTGAGAGCATACAAACACTTCAAACAGTAATGTTTGTGGATTTTCTGATCACTGCTTCATCTGACAAATACAAACTGATCTGCTCCGTGCTCACTCCCGCTGTGTGTGGCTTCCCATCTGTTTACCTTGGCGCCGCCTCTCTACGAAAAACATTCTTTCGCCGTTTTAAACATTTTCACGTTAATTGCTTTTTTCTGCTTTTGTACCACTCAGCGTTCTCGGTACATCATTAGGTTCGGGTTGTGCGCCTCACGTTGCAGGTCATGCTAGGACGCCTGTCTCTCACCTTTTGTTTGAAGCAGATTTTTTCATGCTGACAGTGCCTTTGCGCTGTACACACAGAATATATTAGTACAGTCACAAAAAACAGCGAATTTTAATGAATGTCTTTCTGTGTCGAGAACTACTAAAAAAAGCAAGTGACTCATTTTACACTGAATTTAAATCACAATGCAGCAGACTTTAAAGCATTTGTTTTCTTAAGTTGGACGCTAACAAACACAGTATAAGCAGCGGGGGTGTCGCTAATTCGCTGTATACTCAATGGGAAACGCTTCTATCTGCTCGTGTTGTATTGATACAGTTCGCATAATGAAATCGTGAAACTTAGTGCATCTCAGAAAGTCGTGACGAGTGCTGTAAGTGGCTCCTTCGGTGAAGCCCTTTACTTTAACCAATCTCATCTCCGTCCACAGCACCACAGATAAAACAGAACATAATGAGCGCACATTGCCTGCCTTGCATGTTGAGTTTGCTGTTGTGAAAAAAGTGATACTTTTCCTTATATGGAATCGATTTTTCTCTGTGCTGTTTCAGTTACTCTAACAATATTGTAGGGTCTTTACTTTACAATATGAAGCACCTTGAGGTAACTGTTGTTGTAATGTGAATATTAAGCCATGTGTTTTAAACATGTTCACAATGATATACCTTCTTTTGTTTTTTCACAAAGTTTACACTGTTTATTTATTGGGTGTTTCCCAATAAATTCACTAATTGATAACACGAGATTACACTCTACTTATGCCGATGATCACTTAATATCCACATGAAGAAGCACAGGAATCAGCTTCAGGTCATAAATGTTTTTTTTCCCTGCACTTTAATGTTTTAGAATGATATATATTCAGAGATTGACACTTAAACTTTCTAAAATAGTGAAACTATAGTTTCTTATATTTTTCTCTCCAGTCAGTAAAACTCAGACATCAGCCAATCCTAGTCCAAATATTTCGGATACACGAGAATGATGTTGAAACCTGAAGCAAACAGTGGCAATGTAATTCACAGAATTAATATCTAGCGATCAAACTTGTCTAAAAAAGAAAGCTAGAATAAATTACACTACCAAAAATTAATTCTTTAAATTAAAATTTTCCCTTTTTTTGGCTTTTCTGTAGGATGTAATAAAAGTGTGGAGTCGCTGTTTAATCTCAAAATCACGTCCTCGTACTCTATTGAAGTGCCTCGTTTAGGACGCCTTTGTTAGTCGGGACAGAGATTAATGTTGAGCTGCAGGAGGCGGGCAAATAGATGTCACTGTCGTGTTGAAAAGGCCTATTAATCTGAGGTAACTTGATACAAAGATGGGTCGCGGTGGGTGAGCGCCAATTAGAAGCAATTATCACCTGTTCTGACAAAAAAAATTGACGCGAGCCTTTTTAAACCAGCGCTCGACTAGTCAGATAGATCCAAAGAGGCCTAGTAATGCGTGCCTGGAGCATAAACAGTGTTAGCAATGATGTTTTCAGTCTTTAAAGTTCTTTGTCAGAGAGTTAAAATCCATCATCCTGAAGTGTTTACTCTATTTTGTCTACCTCTTGCAGGTTTGTCACTGAGATTTGACTTGAAGGAAACTATGAAAAATTGGTGACATTTGAAAAAAAAAAAATACATAGGGCATGCACTGCAAAATGAGCAGGGGAAATATAAAGTGTAGACAGTAATAAATGGGCTGGAACTCAAAACGACCTGCATTCCCCTTTAAAAGAAAATGTTGATGTTGGATGACATTGTCCTGTTGTGGACTGTGAAGGGGTGATGGCTACTCAAACAGATCACAGGCAGCCTGTCAAGCAGTCAATATTGACTCAGCTGTTGTGTTGCTGGTGTGCGACACGCCTGAATAACTGAGTTACCGAGCAGCATGCATCCCGTCATTCCACTGCTTTCTCTCTATTTGAGCCATAAACGGCGCCTGCTGATTCGACGCTGGTAATGCAGCCACAGCGAGTGTGAAATGCAGGTACAGGCTATGAAAGGAATGGCTTCGTATATATCGGGTTAGGTGGTGTTATGTGTTAGCTCTGTGTTTGTCAAGGCAGCTGGGCAGTCTTGCACGTGTGCAGTGTTTTTTTTTTGTTTCTTTTTCTTCCAGCCAAAGCTTCAGGAATCACGCAGAGAGAAAAGACATCAGAGAGAGAATAGAAGAGAAAGACACAGCTGAGGGGGAGAACAGTCAGGAGCTGCACGGGGAGGGTTACGGTTCTACTTACATTTGCAGCCATTGTCCCACAAATAGCCGGGCAGACACTCCTGACACTTAGGCCCTGTAGTGCCCTCCTTACATATACAAAATCCTGTGCCATTACAGCGATCATTGACTGAGCCATAGGGATTACAATTACATTCTGGAAAAACAAAACACACATACACACACAGGCTGGAGAAAAAAAGGGTAGTGCTTTGACTTCCCAGCACAAGTCTAGGATTTTCACAGCGTGGTCTGCGGTCCTCGAGCTCTAGCTTAAGAAGGTGCTTGATTATTATAACTGGTAAAAGAATGGGAATAGATTTAAAGACTCATACAGGGAAAAATGCTACCATTTCAACTGTAATGGAGACAGAATGAGTGAGAATGAAGCTGGCTCTAGATACATGAACATTTTCTATTCATTACAACATACTTGTAATTAATATAGCATTAATTTGGCTGTTTTAAAGAACACAGCGTGCAATGAGCAGATATGCAAAGCACTATCAGTAGCTTTGATTTTTTCTTTTTAGATGGACAAAGTGAGCCTATCTGAACATGCTCTTCCAAAATCTGAGTCATTCAAACAGGTAGAGGTAGCAAAAGATGGCAAGAGAAGACAGGAAATGTGATGAGAAGGTAGAGATGGATAATGATATGAAACAAAGATAAAGACTGAATGTTCCAGAGGAATGAGAGAGTACATTGAAATGGGCATTGTAGTAATATGTTCTTTAATTCCCTCTAATTTTTAAATGGCTCTGTAGACTTATTGTTATCCTTTGATAAGAATTTGGCTTCATCTTTAATTGCCTATTACAAACAGAAGACAGCGGTGCTCTGGCTGCAATTTGAACATAAAGCGCTTCATGAAAGCAACACGCCCAGTCTCTAGTGCCTCACACTCAACTGACCTTCCCACTTTTCAGAGCACCTGGAACACTCTGCAGTCAAAGTGACACTTATTTTGACAGTCCCTGACCATCACATTGCACCTTCTGTGTCTGTGCTGGCTGCACGCGGCTGCGCCTGAGTGACATCCAAGGGTCAGGCAAGAGGAGAGAGGTGACAGCAAGTGACAAAGTGGGGGGTCAGCGAGAGAGAGGCAGGGTGACGGCGAGTTTGGCACGCAGTAACGCCTCGGCGACTTTTAATGCCTTGTGACAGGTTTCAGCTGCTGCTCCTGAGGCCATTTCATGTATATGACATATGCACTTGTGTGGCACCTCTGACTGGTGGTGTGACTTCGCTGCAACATTTCCCTCAGAACTCTTGTTGCTTGTCAGAATCCCCCCTCAGGACTCACAAATGCACCTGGCACTGAGCGCTGTGAATTCACACTACATGTGCTAGCTAAAAAATTCAACGGGGAACCGAGATACTGCCCTAGGAACCGTAGGAAACGCAATTTTTACACATAGACAAAGTAGATAATGCATTTTATGAATGCCTGCGTAAAAGTCATGAACAAAATAACAGGAACACCAAGTGGAAATGGCCTTTTACCTCAGACATAACCATAAAGGTGGCATTTGCTTCACCAGCAAGTATTTTGGCAATACTGAATACATTTGCTTGTAAGTTCCACCACCAATTTTATGTAGCCTACAGTACTGTGCGAAAGTCACAAGTCACCTCCAAATTTTTTTAATATTTTGCTAGGAAAATGGAGAATAGGTGCAGTGATTATTCAAACATGTAATCATACATGGGAATGAGTATATGGTATAACCATCTTTATTCTTCAACACAGCCTGAACTCTGTTCAGCAATAGTTCTCCAGACTTCCTGAAGGAAATTCAAAGCTCTTCTTTGGAAGTTTGCTAACTTCTATTTCCTTCTCTGTCAAGATGATCCCACGCTGCTTCAATAATGTTGATGTCCGGGGAGGCCAATCCATGACTGATAGCCTCCCACTGCGTGCTTTTTCTATCCAGGCATGCTGTCAGTGTGTTTGGGATCATTGTCATGCTGGAAATTCTTTCTTTCCAGATGCTATTGCATGATGGATCAAAATCTGCTGGAACTTTTCTGCAATTTTTTCAAGATCCCAAACACCACTGGCTGAAATGCAGCTCCAAACCACGACAGAGCTTCTACCATGTTCACAGATGGCTGTAGACATTCAATTTTGTACCACACTCCTGGCCTCCTTCATACATATTGATGATGTCCAAAATTTTTAATTTGGATTCAAGACTGCATCCAACCTGTAGCCACTGATTTTCCGTCCAGTTCTTGTATAATTTGGCAGAACCTCAGCTCCCCCCTTATTATTTACCTTGCTTGATAATGACTTGTTGACAGCCACTTTTCCACTAAGACAAGTTGCGGGTTTGGTCATCAGCAGATCAACTAAAGAGCCAAATCTATCTCTCAGGTCCTGTGTCAGGTGTTTGCTGGAATTGTTTCTTATTTCCTAAGGACATGACTTTCAGATACTGTTCATCTGCTGCAAATAGTTTTTTTGTAAGTTCTGCCGCTTCTTATATTGTCCTGCTTTCCTAAGATTTTATAAGGGTACACATGATGCACAGACATGCCAAGCTTTTAGCTAATAGCTCTTTGAGAATCTACCTGTTGGTGCAAAAATACTATTTGATATCTGTTAAATTATGTTGTCCTTGGCATTTTATTTTATTTTTTTGTAGATTCCACAACTGGCATCTACTAAGAAAGTGCCTAAAACACAATTTAAATTTGGTTCTTTCCCATTTGTCTGTAATGTTGGACACAACAGTGATTCATCCCGTAGGTTAGGTGCCTTTGAGTGATTCACATGTGTTAAGTGGCTTAACAAAAAAACACTCCTGCGTTTTGCTCACTATTGCTCAAGACCACTTTAAACATAAGAAAATCTGACTCCTGGGAAGCAAAATATTAAAAAATGAGGGGTCACTCAACACTTTGTGGTCTATATGTCATGTCATACAAGGTTTCGAAGGTTACCTTTGGACAAAGCAAGACTAAATGTTATCCTTAATCTATAATGTCCTAAGCTAAGGCAACATGCTTCTGTCTGTACCTTAATAATAAACATAAAGACATAACAGTGCTCTCAGTTTTCTTATCTAACTCAGCTATATCCTAACATTTGAACTGTTTCTCCTTAATGACAGAATTTGTACAGAAAATTGTGACAAGGCACAAACCTGCTAACGTTTCAGATGTAGCTGTTGTGACCATTTCACACTAACCAGTTTCTAATCACCATGCAGCTATTCAGGAGGACATTTATTCCTCAAATTATAGTTTTCTCACCTCGCCCACATGCTAAACCTTGAGAATAGGATCATTTTGGCTTCAATATACACCTTTCAAATAAAACCTAGCTAGCAGCAAGAGATTACAATAAAACACAATATATGAGAGCTAGTAGGTAAAAATAAAGGTATATTTAATAAATGGTAAACTGCTAATTTTAATATGATGCTAAAGACTCCCTTAAGCATCACCTGCTAACACCCAGGCTAACAAGGAGATTTATGAGCAACAACCTTGTGTGAAAGCAGAAGAAGCAAAAGAGGAAGATGACTGGACATGGAAACAGGAGAGTGTATAAGTGATGACGTGTTGGGGATGAAACTGACAATTTCTCTAATGAGGAGTCAGAGACAGGAGGTGAGGTGAAGAGAGTGTGAAAGCGTGGTGGTGGTGAAGGGGCCCGGATGGGGGACTGACCTATGCACACATTTTCATCGTCCAGTTCTGCTGAGGCATTGCGGTAGTAGCCCAGCTTGCATAGCTGGCAGTGCTGGCCCCTAGTGTTGTGCTTACAGCTCACGCAAATGACGGTGTTTAGCAGCTCGATATAGCTGCATCGGTTGGAGTGGCCGAAGCATTCGCAGTCTTGCAAAGAGAGAGCAAGTGTGAAGTGAGGAGAGGGGAGGAGGAGAGAAAAGAAGGAGAAAGAGACGCGGGCGAGAGCGTTGGAATTGTTGCTTTTGCAGCGAGTGCTACGGCGGTGGGGTTAGCAAGTCTGATGGAGGCTCCGTGGCATGCGAGGTTAAAAATGGAGATGGTTTGAGGAGAAGATGTTGGGGGGAATGACAGGTAAGGTTGGTCGTGATTAGTCTCGCATGGGCATGGCCAGAGTTAGAAAAAAACAGAAGTTTCACATAAAACACCACGGCGTTAGTAGAGAGGTCACATCACTTCAAGCACACCACAGCACGAGGCGACAAAGGCTCTGAAATGACAGCACAGAGACATGATCACATCAGGAGCACCGCGCAGCATGAGGCAGGTCAAACCATGAATGAAATGGATGTCTCAGCCGCTGAGAATGGCGTGTGAGGGAATTTAGAGGTTTTTGTGTAAGTCTTAATGTCAGCGGTTATCTGGTCTGAAGAGAGGATGAGATGAAACCTTTGTGTTTTCTTTTAAAACCCTTTGCAATGACTGATGTATTACTTATCTTTAAAACCCTTAATTCATCCAACAAACATTTCTTTAGTTGTTTTTTAGTCCGACCCAACTGAGTTTTCAACAAGCAATCAGCGAGGCAAGTGAGTGTGTGGTGAATTGTAGCTGGGTGGGAAAGTGACATTGCCTACTATGCAGTCATGCTTAATTAGATAAAGCTATATTGAGTCGAAGCTGCTACAATCCATGATACTCACTGGCAGTCCTGCCCTAAGGCTTGCAGGATGGGGCGTGTCCGGCCCCAGCTCTGTTCCAGTGAGGATCAGCCCATCACTCCGAGTGACCACTGACACCATGTGTCACAGCACAGACAGATGTGACCCTTAAGCCACACTGGCAGCTGCTTGGACAGAATGCCCACTCACAGCTCCACGATAAAGTGGTTAGTGCAGGAGGCTTTCGTCCAAGGGATTGTGTTTATTAAGAATCTGTATTGAGGTCAGTTCTCTCTGTCCAGACACTAATAAACTCGGCACGTCTCGGAAACGAAGGTACAGCAAGTCCAGTTCACACTACCTTTCACCTAAATCAGCAAGTCTTATCCAAATGTAAGCTAAGGTCCTCTACGTTAGATGCCTCCCTCTTGCAGGCATACTCTCAGAAGACAAATAATCTCTCCTTTCTAGAAATAGGCTAAGGTTATAAATCATGCACGGCGCGCACAGGGAATAAAAAGTCTCAGGTACATGTTCCCCCCCAAAATAGTTGTGGCCTCAAACACCCACTTTATTTTCAGTGAAAAAAGAAATGATTCCAAGGGACTTTTATAGTGTTTAGAATACGATTCCATAGATGAATGAGTCGTCCAGTGAAAGCCATCAGTCTAGCTCTGAGCTGGAGATACGGATACAGAGTGCTCTAGCACTGGGGTAGTGTCACAAGGGTTGGGGAGGGTTGGCGGGGGGGGGGGGGGGGGGGTAGCTCACAGGTTAACAGAAACATCAGTTCATACAGGAAGAAGGCTTTGGGTGTCATCTGGGATTGGGTGGGGACAATGTGGGAATTCCAGAGCTCCTACCTCGCTTGCTGTTTGCAACGTGGACAGAAGGGGCAGTGGACAATGCAACTTGAGGAGCTACTAGACAAATTAAAAGAAACAAACAAACAAACAAACAAAAAAAACCCATGATATTGCAATTCAACATAACACATGTAATGCCAGAGAATTAAGGATACCAAGCATCACGCCTAATAAAAATATAACAATAAAAAAAAAAGAAAAGAAAGGAAACATACGCAATAAAGATGAATGATGGCATTGAGAAATAAGGAGTGACATTGCCAAGTGAAGCTGGCTGCGTGTAGCAGCATCTGTTACAAATGCCTTCGATTCAACAATTCAAATATTATGGACCCTCTTTTACGCTTCATTTCATTAACAAGTGCTTAGTATAATTCAAAACTGTCTGTGTATGTTTCCCCAGACAGAAACTATACCCTGACAAACTACTCTCCACCTCGGTGGAGGCCAGCCAAGAATTTTCACACTATAAATTTGTGCACAGCTGCGTGGGTAAGGAAACTGGCTAGCAGTGAACACATCAATCCCTCCATTCTTTTACGGCTATAAAGCAAACAGTGGGGAAAAGGAAATAATGGGCCCGGCCTCTGCCATTGTACCAGGTGACATAAGCCCTTGCCACATACATTGTGAGCGCTTGGCTGCAGTCATGGAAACACAGAGCTGAGCGGTTGTGCGCTAGTTGTGAGGTGGATTAAGCTAAGTTGAGCCCAACACTTTCAAAAAAAGACAAAAGTGAAACCTCTCCTGCTTTTCTATCTAATGAGCTAACACGGTGCTGAGAGCTGAGCACCTAACTGAAACAGTGTTAATGTATAAATCAGAGCTGCAGCAACCTCTTGAGCCTCCAGGGTGCGACAGGCTGACTTATAATGTTTTTGGGCTTTTCAAGAAGCCAGGAAAAAGGGAAGGATAGTTTGGGCTACCAAAGAGTCATTTTTGACAACTATACAAACACCTGAAGTAAATGAATCTGCAAAACAAAAACATAATTGTTGCATAATCTTAGATGCCTACCTTCTTTTCGGTTAGCGACACCTAGGGATGACACATTCGGCCGAACTGCGTGCAATTGAGAGAAATCAGGAGTTAATGATGTGTCCTCGTGGGATGCACTTTACAGATCATCTAAAGAGGGGAGACTATGTGGTAGTGGACACAGACAACTGGAGATATGAACATGTCCAGCATGACTCAGATCTGTAAATCAGGAAACAGCACGATGGGGCAGGGCTGACATGGACGGGCAGAGAATGCATCCAAAGAGCCATTAAAAGGACGTCGGAGAGACGTTGTATGTAATTTGTGTGACGTCCATTACCTTGCTGTGCAACTGTATGTTTATGGCAATGGCAATGATGAGTGGGAAAAAAAACTGAAGACAAAAGATCAAGAAAAAAACCCAAACTCAGTTAAACTTAGTATTTAGCTCATGATTTATGCAAGGGACTCTATGTATAGCAAATGAAGACGTTAGGGGGCATTTTGTTTAATTCATCACATTGACTGAGTAATCAATATCTAATTACAGTGTATTTCTGGTGGAGGAATAACAATGAATAAATAATGGCAGGTGTTGGGACTTGGAATGACGGACTGCTGTGGGTAGCATAACCTCATAATTACATACAAGTCAGTATTTCCGTGTCAGGGAAATACTTTGCGGTTGGAAATGGAGAGGACTCAAGCAAAGGGAGGAATACGGATAAGTTTCCTCATCGTGCCCCTTCATCTCTTCACTTGATCTTTCTGTCCTTTCGCTATTGACTCCATGAATCATGCAATCTTGGGTAATTAACATCCAGCGGTGTCTTGGCAAGAAGCCACTTACTCTAACTATGTGTGAATAGAGAATATGACTGCTGTTCACCAAGTGCAATCTTTTAAATAATGACTTTTTTCCCTTGTGAAATAATGGTTTCGAATCTTTTTTCTTTTTTTTTGTAAGTGGGCTGGATTTCAATAAAACATTAGTTTTGAGGTTTGTATGTCTTTACAGAGTGACAGTCGCTTTAAATACCCTCAGTGCTGATTTCAAAACTGCTCGAACAAAAGAAGAATTTGATTCTTCGTGGGGATTCTGGCATCGGTGACGACTTTGACGTCTCCGCTGGGTCTGAGTCACACGAGTCACAGAATGAAATGCTGTTTGAAAATGAGATATTAACAAATAAAGAGCTTTTAAAAAAAAGCTCTTTTTTGAAATCTACTTTGAAATACTTTGTTCGTGTGATAATCACTTAGCAGTGAAACCGTTTGGTCAAAACAGCTGCAAAAAAAAGGCTCTGCCAGGAACATTTGGAGGGGAAAAAAGGTGAGAACGCTGCACTGTCTAGATCTGTCGAACAGCTGATCTAATTGCTAAAGTATGATGATATTTAATCACAACCTGTTTCCAAAAAAAGTTGTGGTGCTGTGTGAAATGTGTTTCAACATAAAGCACAATCCTTGTCAAATCGTTTACCTGAAAACGGCACAAAGACATTAAAAAAAAATCCAGGTTTGATCATTTTAAATTTGCTGCCAGCATCAAGTAAAGAAGGCTGAGTAAACAAAAGCCTGGAACCTGTGTAGCATCAAAAATAAAACAAAGTAAGACAAAAATATTAAACAACTGTTGAAACATCTCCTAACTAATTGGTTATATTAGCATAAGGTCAGTAACACGACCGATTATCAAAAAGAGCAAGAAAGCCTCTCAGAGGTAGCGATGGAGAGGCGTCTGCTCCTCTGTGTATTACTGGGTGTGCAAACAGTTCAACAACGATTCTCTGTGCTAAATTTGAAAGGGATTTAATAATACACGGTACATAATATCATCAGTAGATTCAGAGAATATTGAGACATCTCTTTACATAATGAACAAGGCTGCGATCTTCTTGGGCCTTCGAACGGCACATTTGGTTCTGGAAATCACTGCATGAGCTCAGGAACACTCAGCAAACACAGTTCAAAGCTGCAAATACAAAAGAGCCACGCTAAAGGAGAAGACAACAAGAAGTAAAGAAAACTGCCCTTTTCTGAACCTGAGCTCATTTAAGATGAGCTGCGGTCAGGCATTTAATGTTATCTGTGCACAGTCCAAAATCCAGCCTTCATGCTGGTAAATGGCTGCTTTGGTGTACACTGGGTACTTTGCAAATTTATAAAGTAATGCTATAAATGTTAAACAATACATATAGGTTCTTAAGCAACAATGCTGGCATTTTTTTTTCTTTAGAGAAGGTTTTGCTCATTTCATGAAGGTAATACAGCTGCAGAAAGTCTCAATGTATTGTCTTTGTACCACTTTCAGTGAAATACAGTTTCAAATCATAACAATAATTTTATTTTCATTTTACACATTTCCCAAACTTGCATTCTTTTGGAAACAGGGTTTCTGTGTTGGCAACTGACGGGATGTAATGCACATCTAGGTTCCATTAATTATTTTGTTATGGGGAATATTCAGGAGTGAAATGAGTGGTGACGGATTTTAATCAATGCCATACTTATAATGAAATGCAATCTTGCAGAGCCAGAATTGTTTTTTAAAATATTAATTTCACTTTAATGGTCTGCATTAGGCAATTCTGCCTGGCTTAATAAACTTGAAATAGAATTGAGGAAAGTCAATAAGGAATTCAATTACCTTCAAAAAAACAACATAAAAAGTGCAGGGCTTTGTTTTTTCTCCCCCAAACAGTAGCTTTGTTTCCAATCCTTAAAAAAACAAACCTCAAGGACATCATAACCTTTTCCCCCCTTAGCCTGTTCTTACTTTATTAATAATGCGACTTAACGTTGGTTTGTGTTTGCGCTGAAAATGGCCTCATCCTCTTCAGTGTGCTTAAAAAATAAGACAGTCAGCATGTTTCATTTTTTTGTGTTTTGTTGGTTCTGTGGAAGGCTGCTGCAACAAGACAGCCACTCGTGAGAAATCTAAATCCCCGTGGGCCAATCTGGATGAGAAACGAAGACTTTGGTTTGTCAGAGTGTCCTTTCTACATCGCCCATCCTCCCTCCCCAAAACACACACACGTACACACACACGCACTTATCAGCATGCACACCCGCCCTGTAAAGGATTTGAGGACAGCCGTTGGACATGGTCTGGCCTGGCATTTTGGAAGGGACGGAGAGGATGGATGTGCAGCAGTGAATATGTACGTGTACACAGCATGTATGAAGAGCATGCCCACACACACTAAGCACTAATAATGCCGTGCATGAAGACGAAGCACAATTCGGAGGCAAGCAGTGGAAGACTGTAGTTGGGTTAGGGGGGGGGTGAAATTGGTCGTCTTGGCCACATGTCCATTTCTGACTCATGACGTCATAGCATCAGACTTTATAACAAGTGTTCACTTACTGAGTAAGCTACCACACTAAAGCCTGATTAATAACCACCCGGGAACAATCCCTACGTCGCTCGCAGCACGTTTTAGGAAACTTGCCCAGAAGTCGTCTTAGCCTTTAAATGATAAAAACAAGACAAGCACGCATGTGTCCTTTGGGGAACCTTGGGTTGGCTTGAGCACACAATTGGATATTAAATGAAAACAATTTACTACTGAGCTTAAAAAGAGCTCACAAATAATTGGAAATATTGAAAAATGCTGTTGATCTTAATTTAACAGGTAACTTCATCAGGAGGAAGCAATTTATTAATCGATCCACTGCCCCGGGAATAGAGGATACTCATGAAGAACAGGGCGATGGGGAAAAAAAAGAAAAAAGATTAAGGCGAACTGAGCCAGGCTGTGAATGCACTTTGACTTGTTCAATACAGTCCTATGTTTCCTGCATCACACAGCCTTCCAGGCAGCGGTAACTTGAGACATGGCACCTCTCTTCCTCCTCCTCCTCCTCCTGAGGGGCTACTGTTTGACGAAGATAATACCAGCCGAGGCGCTTGCGGCTTATATTAAAATGACCTCCTGTGACATTACACTGTCAGAGAGGTCTTGGCACTTTAATAAAGTCTAGATGCCATTTATTTATAATGCATGGGAGAGAAGGAGGGGGGAAAAAAAACAAATGACATTTGCCATGCAGAGCCAGGCAAGTATTATCTGGTCGAGTTGAATCAGGATAAAGTAAATTAATATGCCCACATTATGACAATATAGCCCCCAGCTATGGCTTATCCCTCCCCCTAACCAAAAAAAAAAGGTTAGTCGACAATTGCTGAGTGATTTTTCATAAGATTGGAATCAGAAATGAACACCTGGCAATGGGTTTAGGGGTGTACGGTGAAGAGTGGGACAGTAGGCAAAGCAAAGCATCAAGCAGTCATATTGTTTACTTGTAACTGTTTACTTACTAACTGGACCAATGTTACTAGGAATACCTGCAAGAGAGGAAGAGAAAACAACAATGAATATTAAGGCACATAACACAGACATTAGAAAAAGTTACTTTTGCCATCCGTCCTCACGGGGGACTGACTTCCAGCAGCAACATCCGTGATTCATGCTGCTGAACTCTACCCCTGAAACCACGACATCTAAAGCAATGCCAGCAGTGTGCACCGTGATTTAACGGCATTGCCCGTACCCGTTTATCCTTACGTCTGCTTGGTGTCTCGTGGTTTTCCTCTGTTATTTGTCTTTTGATGTCTTCTGCTGTTGGCAGTGTCAGATAAGGTCACTGCTGCCCTCTCCCACAGCTAAAGGTGCACACCCCTAAATGTCACAAAAATCACTGGAAAACTCATGTCAGGCTCATGACAGTCATGGGATACTTTTGTGATTAGTGAACAGTGCCTGTTTTCATGAGAATTAAGTTGTCAGCACGTATTCCAACACACGCAAATATCAAATGGCATCAACTCAGTCTCTGACACCAAAGGAGGACATATCTTATCCTGTTGCCTAACCGCCCATCCCTCCGCCGAGCAATCTCTTGAGCCAGGCGGCCGCTGAGCAGATAATACAGTCTGTCTCATGCCCACGGTGACCAGATCTCTCCCACACCAGGACACTGGCTGGCTGTGGATCTGAGCACGCTAAGACGTTCACAGGCTTCTTCCGCCGAACCAGCCGCTATCATCTTGGTTTGGGTTTTAATTAGGACCTCAGGACCGAGTGACGCACATTTGTGGCCGCATCAGACAGCACGAAGCAAAGATGATGTCAGACAAAGTGCCGAGGACTCTGCCACGTTTCTCAGTTTGCATCGGTATTCCTCAAAGGCACGTGAATGCACCGGCTGTGTATTTTTGGTCAGCGTTTGTCTTCAGAGGAATTTGCTCTCAACTCTACTTTTTCTAATCATCCCTTTAAGGCGAGGCCCTCCCTCCCATTCGCTCTACCCCCTGCCCTCATTAAGGCAGTCTACCCACCAAAACAAACAACCTGCTCGCCATGAAAAGAGAAGCATGCTGTGCAAGAGTACCCATACTTCTTCTAAACAGTAGAAACAGAAATGAAATAAGAAGAGATCTCACTCTCCCTCCAGCTCACATCTCTCCTATCATTCGCTCGCTATCACACCTGCTGCTGAAGAAGCTGAGAAGGCACATGTGCAGGATTTTTGGTGGGGTCTTTCATCTAATGGAGCCGTCACGAAATATCTCCAAGTACTCAGGGGAAACGAGGGTTTCCCGAGTGTGTGTGTTTGTGTTCGTGCACTTTGATCAAACTGCTGTCATTCAATCACGCTTCCTCTGATCTCTGCCTGCCGGTTGTATTTAGGAGCCAAAGCTATGACCTGCTTGATAACCGTGAAGTACAAAAGTCTATGCTGACACATGGAGACAGAGTGTAATGGGTGTCAGACCTCAAGGGGGTGGACAGATGCTAACCCTGAGACAGGAAGGATGAGGCAGAAACCATCAGGATCCCAGTCATTTTCATTGTCACACTCGGATTTGGGAAGTTGGGCTGGATATAATCATTTGCAAATGAAAGCTGCCACCTCACAAAACACAGTGCAACAGAAAAAAATAGTTTTTTTTTGTTTTTGTTTTTGTTTTTCCTAAATAGAGGCCAACAAGTATGAAAAAATTGTTGGGAGACGGGCATGCCAGAGGCAGTGTTTCATTAGTCTTCTTTTCACACAGGTCCTGGTTGATCGCTAATCAAAGCCACAGAGAGCAACAGATATGCTGCACATATGTTCATGATACCTAATGTGCAGTGCATGAACAGAGAGCATCACAATGAAGTTATCATATTTTTTTGTACATAGAGATATCCATTAAAATCCACTGCCCCTGTGAAATAAATGTGCATGTAATGAGACCGGATATTCACGAAGAATTTTAGGTCCTTAACTGAACTGTAAAAAAAAAAAAAAAGGGGGGGGGGGGGGGCTGGTTAAGTAGCTGACAGAGCAATAATACACAAACGTTATCTGCATCTAGTGTGAAAGATTAGCAGGGGGACCCACTATGTTTAATGGAAAAGGATATAAATAAAGAAGCAGAGCTGGTGTGTGTGTGTGTGTGTGTGTGTGTGTGTGTGTGTGTGTGTGTGTGTGAGAGTGAGAGAGAGAGAGATCACTAGGTCTTGTTATTACTGTACAGACTTTCATTAGAGTGCACCACAGAAAGTTTACAATTTAAGTAGAGATATTCTTCATAACAGAGAAAATATTCACTATGAGCTCCACTGTACCAGCTACACAAATGCCAAACAGATCACAGCGGTCTAAAAGCCATGTGTTCATTATGCAGCGTGGTCTGTCCTCCACCCATCCTCAGGTTAAATGTATCTATAAAAACTGTATAAATCATGTTTCGTACAAAGACGTGGTTCACAGTGATCACTCATTTGACAAATTACACTTTGCCACTTCACTGGGCTCAAGGCCATAGAACTTTTTCTCTCAGGTCATAATCTCAGACACCAGTGGCCCGTCATTACAATTATTCAGTGCTTTAGGCACAGCCTGTGGGGTCCTAGCAGATCCATGGATCTGAAGTCAGGTCACTGAAATGATTTTTAACCGCCATCGTTTCCAATTCCCCTTCACCTGCCCGGCCTCGCCATTATGGGCCACTGGCTCCAATCTAATTTTGTCTTATCGCACAGGAAGAGCATTAGGAGCCGCATTTGTTGACTCCATTGATTTTTATGTGTTGCGCAGAGATCGCAGTTCTGAGCTGCTAGGCTGGTGAACATGATCTCCTCGGGCCGTGTGATTCACCGCACATTTGGGGTCAGCACATATGACGCATGTGCAGATCGGTGCATTACAATACAGTGCAGGCCGACTCATGTGGGGCATCAACCGATTTGCAACAAATCTCACTTCACAGTGTGGTTAGAAGTCTCATTGCTTGATGTTTACTCTATCGGATGGTTTCCAGCTATGCTGTCAAGCATCCAAGATCTCACTAATGGATTATCAGAAACCCATAATAAAATGTTCTCCCATGGATATTCAGCCTTTAAATCTTTGGCATGCATTCTGTTGCATCACTGAACTGGCTCGTCTGTCATTTATTCAGTGTGTCTGCACATGTGCAGAAAGGGCACTCATCTTGGGAAAATTTCTGCATGCTTTCTAGATTTTACTGTCAAGAGCGTTCGTTAGCATGGGGCTCAGCTGGTGTGTGCTTGCGCGTGTATGACCGTGCGTGTCGCTGTGTTGTTTCTGTCTGTATCACTTCTGTTCTGACCTTCAATGTGTCTCACCTGTTTGCTTTGGCAATACCTGGACTTCCCTGGAAAGGCGCTTATCAGCTGAATTTCCACCGCAGGCAAAGTTGGTAATTACTTTCCGAGGCTGCCATCGTTTTATAGCAATCCATCATCATCTAGAGCTCTTTGGCTATATAGAGCTCAGTGGTGGTGACAGGCATTGCTAACTGGTTAGCAGCGGAAAGACTGCCAAAACACAAGCATACAGCATGCAAGCTGATTGAATTCTTCAGGAGCAAAATTACGTCTTGCTCGGCTTCCCTGCTACGTCTTAAAGCCTTGAAGTCCCCAAGAGCCAAGATGGACAAAGCACAGTTAAGATTTCAGGGATGGAACGAGGTGTGCATCAGTGGCAGCACGAAAAGTGAGAAGGAGGGGGGGGGAAATCTGGAGATGGAAGAAACAAATATTTGAAAGAAAGATTACCGTCACAGCTGCACAGAGCCGAGATGTGGAAAAGACAGAGTAAACAAGCTTGGTCTCTGGGGTGGTTGGGGGTGTTGTGGGGGAGAAAAAGAAAGAGAGGGAGAAAGACAGAGTGAGCATGAAACAAAAGAAAGAGATGGAGCGAGCACAGGCAGAGGCAAGAAGAAGAAGGAGGAGAGAAAAAGGTAGCGGGGAAGATGGGCAGCAGGAGAAGCAGAATGACAGGATGCAAAACAACAGCCAATAAGTTTTATAGAGAACAAAGAAGGAGAATGGGGGTAAAATGAAAATTCAAATGAGTGGGTGTTATACATGAGAGCAAAGCTCCTGAATGAATGTGTGTAGATGCATAAACATATGACACTAATTGAAATCACAGTAGAGCTCAGAGATGATGAAAAACCCACATTTAAAACATTTATTGGACCTCACTTAAATTCAAAAGGAAATGACAGACCTTCCTTTTTATCGAGCCACGAAGCTAAACAAAAGAAGAAAACACTAAGCGCTAATTTTCTTTAAATGATATCTTTAACAAATGTACTGTGTGGATTGGTTAGTAAAGCAAAGTCTTACTACTGCAGTTGGTAAAACATCACACAGGATTCATTTTAATGCTTTTTGCAAAAGAACCATTTTTTAAGACGGGTGTTTATATCTGCCCAAATCTGCCCAAGTACAGTAATTGTAAGAAAGAGTGAGCTTTATTCCACGGTGGCACCATCAGTTCCTGAGGGATTTGGTCTTGCTGCTGAAACACATAAATCTCACAAAAGGAGGAAGATTGATCAGGCAACCTAAATATGTGTGTGCGCGTGTGTGTGTTTGTTCACATTCCTATGATCAGCTCCCTCAAGTTGGCACTCATTATAGAAAAACCACACAAGGAAAAAATTAACATGCTATGTGTAAGTCCAATGAAATAATACTTGATATTGTCACTGCCGGCTCCAGATATCACAGCGCTTCTCATCATGCTAATGTGGAACGTGGGAGAGGCAAGGTGTTCTGCGTGAGTGGGATGCTGAGGGTTGGGGGTGGATCTTCTCTTCCAGCTGGGGGTGGGGAATGAATCCTGCTGGAGAAATCCACTGCATGTTCGCGCCTTTCACTGCTTTGATCAAAGGGGATCCATAAACTCCGAGGCTGGCTTTAGCTAAATCTGAACAAGTGCCTCTTAATCCTTCTCTGATAAGCCAATCTATTCATTTTATCAAGATGCAGAATGAACAAATCGGGACTTAATTAATCTGAACGTTAGGCGTCGTTGGATGAA